GGCGCGCCCCCACCTGCCGCCTCGCCGCGCCAACGCCGCCGGGGCTCGGGATCCGAGTGGGTGTTCGCTCCCTCGAGCGCCTCCCTCCCCTCTCTCCGCGCTCGTCTCCTCCCTCTCACTGGCCTCCCCGCTCCCGCACGCTCTTACTCTCGCCTCCCTCCTTCCCTAAACTGACTGCGCCTGGATGTCTCATCCCTACGCTTAGCAACGCGCTGCTCCCCTCGCGGAAGATTTTGCGCTGCTCCCCTCGCGTAAGAGCGGGCTCAGCTCCCAGCCACCTGCGGCCACGGTCTGGCGTAGCCCTGGATCCCCAGATGCAGAGAAGGAAAGAGATCGTCCCGACAGAGAATTAGAAACAGGTGGAAGGGCTTTGTCCTGAGCAGATAAATAAATCTCCAAGTATCTAAGCTCCCAGGTCACCCACAGGGAAAACTGCGAGTTGAGAAGGATTCGAAAAGGTTTTGTCTTTGTTTTTGATCCAAAAGAGCGTATTAGTCTCACTCTCTCCAAAGACAATGGGCTCATGGATATGATAAAGGAAGAAACGGCTGGTTTAGTGTAGGAATTAGGCCATTCAGTTTTGGACCACATCTGAGTTCCAGTCCTCCTTTACAGGAAGAAAACAAAGCTTTGTTATCTTACTATGATCACAATGATGGTTCTTTCCTCAAAGGGTTCTGAGGCTCACGTGTGGCATTGCTGTCACAAATGTCGACAGGACCTCTTCCCTCTCTGCACTTGAGGACATCGTGGGGCGAGCAGAGGCTCCTAGGGCTCTGTCAGACCATGGCCACTACAGGTGGCTGGGAGCTGAACTGACTCTTCCTCAAGGGTAGCAGCACGTTGTTACCCTCAGGGATGAGAGGGATCCAGGCACAGTCAGTTTAGAACACTGAGCTCTGCATAGAGTAAGTGTCAAAAAAATTCACTATGGGGAAAGGGCTGTCAGGAAATGTTCAAGCAAGAGTATTTTCAAAGTCGAAGTCATAATAAAGAGCCCATCTCCACTGGCTTAAGACTTAAGCCAAGGTAATTCAAGATTTGAAGCTATTGCCTTATTAACTTTTGTAACTCTAGTCGTCCTCTTCCCTACATCCAAATTTCAGCTCTACTCTACAGATAAGTGCTTGCAAAAAATGAATTCGGTTGTTTGCAACTTTGCCTGTACATTGGAATCATCAGGGGTGTGAGGCAACTTTAAAATGTGGCCACAAATTCATCAATGTTCTTCCTGTAGAGAGATGGGTCCCCTCCCTTTGAATCTGAAAGACTGGGATGGCTTCGGTGAATAAAACAAGGCAGAAGTGATGCTGTGTGTCTTTCGAGGTAGGTGGATGGAAGGCTTCGCAATTCCTTTTCTAGTGAATATTTTCTCCTGGAGTCTTGAGCTTCCTTAAAGGAAGTTTGACTACCTTTAGCCACTGTGCTTTAGGGAAGCCCAAGCTATATGGAGAGGCATATGTAGATACCTGACTGAGGGGTCCAGGTGAAAAAAGTCTTGACATTATCTCGGCCTGAGCATCAGAATGTCCATAAAGAAGCCTCCACATGATTTTCCAGCTCCTAGCTCTTTGAGGTAGCCCAAGCCATTTCAGTTTTCTCAGCCAAGACCCCAGACATCATAGAGCAGAGAAACTGTCAGTGCTACATCCTGTCAGAACTTTTGACCCACAAAATTTGATAGCACCCCCCAAAAAAAAAAAATTGAGACCACAATAAATAGTCACCATTTAACACAAATCTTGGGACAAACTGATTTGTAATAATAGATAACATTAAGTGAGGAACTAAAATGAACCCTATGTAAATTTAAAGACCAAGCTAATGCCTGTGATGCATCTCCATATTCATATTCAAATAGTGAATGGTGGTCCCTGGGCATTTAAAAAAAGTTTTCCAGGTGCCTTTAATGTACAGCCAGAAGTGAGGACCACTGAACTTGACTATCCTATATAGAGAGTACAGGAAAAACATAAACTAAATATCAGAAGACAGGCAGAAGCTCTAGGATAAAGACCCATGAAGTCCAGGGATAGAACTCTAGACTTAATTAGGTAGGGAGTTAGAGACGTTAGTCTTAACCAGGGGAGATATTGATTGGAGTTATGTTTTGGAAATATTTACTTGACAAGTTTGTGTGCTTCTACCTTATTAACTGCTGGAATAAATCCTTGCTTTTGACAACTGTTCATCAAAAGAAAATACAATATTATGTTTTAAAGTCTGGCCAACCCATTAAATGAATACTGGCCATGCAAACCACTGAAGAAGGGAGACCAGGAGAAAGAGGAGGTATACTGTCCATGAAAATCAAGTTACTCAGTTTACAAAAATAACATATTATTCTTTCCTGCCTTTGGATGGAGACTCAAATAGATTTTTTGTGAACATGTACAGTTTAAGTATAGCTTCTTTAACCAAAGCTATATGGGTCCCTCAGCCCTCAAATCCAGCCCTGCAAGTGGTAACATATTAATAGTGTATGCTAGTCCCATGGTAACAAGAACAGGTGATGAAGAAGACTTTCTCTGCTTATAAAGGAAGAACAGGAGGATACTCAGCAGTCATCATTCAAAACCAGGGAGCTATTCGTTAACACTTCAGTAAAAACGTTCCTTTTCCCTGGCTGACAACAGATGACATTTTCTGTACCTGTGGCTTTAGTTTTCTAATGTTCTATCAGAAAGAAATATAAATGATTAAATAGCCACCTGGTCATTATTTCTGGTCCATGTAGAAATCATAGAAATAAGTCAATGGACACCGTGATGCAATAGCTGACTTTTCTCTTTAATGGAAATATCATATTCATGGAAGGCCCTGCTAGAAATAGCTGGCAATTAGGTTCCCATTCATAGCCAAATTCAATAGGTTCTACAAAGTGGAAACCAAACATATTTTCAGTTTTCTTTTTATCTAGACAGTTCGCATTTTTGAAAACTGTTTTCACACATCATTTTCCTGAAACACAGATGCTGTACTGCTGAGGGTAGTATCAGTCACAAACAGGAGACAGCAAACTTGATGGAGGAAATGCATCTTTTTACCAATTTCTTTATAGCAAGGATCTGGAAAAAAAATAGAAATGTTATTCTAGATTTCAGCTCTCACACTTCCCATGATAAGACTTTGACACAAAGGTATTTCTAGCACTTCAGGAGATGATAGCTGTGTGGGAATGTATTGTATTTCAATCCATCTCTGCTTCATGGAGGAACTATTATTTAAGCCCTTTCAGACAGCCAGGAATCTATCTTATTTGTATTTTAAATTCTAGGAAAGACTATCTTTTTTTGAGAAATGAGTCAGAATCCTTTTGGTCAGGTTAATGCCTAAGATCCTCTCTTCCTCTTTAGGGCCTTTTTCCCATGGGATGAGTCTTGATTAGGGCCAGACTCCTCTGCTGAAGAGATAAAAAAGATGATCACTCGTATCTTTCCCCTGGCAGCTAGAGTAGGGTTGGGATCTAGGACCAACCAATAGAACATTTCTCTTGAGCCTTTAAATCTGGATCAAGGGACATGAAGGGAAGTTTATAAGGTCAATGAGCACACTCAGGGTAGTGTCAAGTGTGTACAATGTCAAGTGGAGCCCTGATGACAATTTAACCAACTTAATAAAGCAACTTTGTGGTTTCAAAGTTTCTCCAAACTTGATCAAGCCCTGCCTTCCAACCTTGGTCTCCAGCCTTCCTATTGACTTCCCAGAAGACCTGATATCTTTTCAAAACTTTCTTTTCCATTTTACCTTAAAGTTAGTTTGGTTTCAGTGTTTGATTTCTGACTGATAAATTCAGTCTAAATTTCTCCTATTAAGGAGGGCCATTTGTTTAGTCCATAGAAAAATTTTGGTAAAAAGAAAAATTAATCTTCTTTGGACATTTGTTGATGCCTATTTATTACATGCAACCAACAGGCACAGCTGGGAAAATGCTGAAAAAAAACTGGTCCTTGTTTTGCAGAACCTACTCTACTTAAGGATACACCATTTTTTTTTGAGAGAGAGATTTTTCACTGTAGGGCGCGTGTGCTTGCCAGACAGGCAGAGAGAGACATAGAGACAGAAAGCGAGAAATCACCCCCCAGGGGGGATGGTCACGCCGCAATCCCTTCTCCTCCATTCTCCTCTTGGGATCTTGGGCACGCACGTACACGCGCCCGGCGTGAGTTTTAAGCCACCGGGTCTGGGACACGAACCGTGGTCGACTACATGGGAGTCCAGCGACATAGCCATTACGCTAACTGCTGGTTCCCAAGGATACACCATTTTAATAGATCATTTTAATGCAGTGAGACAAGAGTAACACAAGAGGTTTTGCAGTGAGGGCTGTGGGAGGACAGAGGAAGAGACAGCCCCCCATTAGTGCCTGTTCTGCATGATCATTTATGTAACTGTAGATGGCAAAATTAGGACTCAGGAGTAGTAAGTGCCATGGGCCAAAAGTATTAACTATAATGGCTATTTTCCCAAGAGCTCTTTGACCGCGAGGATAATTTTTTTTTTTTTCTGTTACGCCACTGTGTGAGTAAAATAAAACTCCCATCCACTGGCTTACTCAACTTCAAGCTCTTCCATCTTGAAAATGCAAAAAATCCTAAGCATCCAGTATCCTTCATTAACCTTGTATGTTGCTACAGTTACTGTGCCCTGTTTTCATCCTTCTCATGAGCAAGATTTCTCATCTATAGAAGCAAGGATAAGCTATTGGGTCATCAAAAAAGTCATGACATGTTTTTCTAAACAAAACTGCGAGGAAGAGACAGCCCCCCATTAGTGCCTGTTCTGCATGATCATTTATGTAACTGTAGATGGCAAAATTAGGACTCAGGAGTAGTAAGTGCCATGGGCCAAAAGTATTAACTATAATGGCTATTTTCCCA